AATCAATTTTCAAGGATAGAAAACATGAGAGAAAAGAGACTGTGGAAAGTGTTTTCATGAGTAAAGTTCATTTTCCAGGGTAAAATGCTTCGAAAATCAAATTGAATCAAAGCGAGTTACTCATCAAATAGCAAAATGTAAAAGGTAACGAATTTCATCTCAAGATTTTTATTGGCAAAAATACATTCACAATTTTGCTTTTTACTAAAAGTTGAGTCTTGATAATAAAAAGGTTTTCATTTTTCAGTAATAAAAGACTCAACTTTTACATTCACTGTGAAAATAGTCGCCTAAGGATACTTTTGCTCTCGAAATGTTAAACTGTCTCAACGACTATTGGCGAAAGATAGATTGTCTGTTATACGATTTTCAAATAATCTGGAAGATTGCTCAACATAGTGAACAACATTTCCTGTCAAAGGCGGAGAGTCAATAGATCGTATTATGGTAACTACTCTACTAAGTACAGCATCCTGGCAGGCTCTTGGCTCGTCTACGGATCATTTTATACTCAGGCAGGCCAACATGGATTCGTTGAATTCATGGTTGGTATTCGGTTTGATGGTTATCAATGGAATGCTTTCTCTCCATTAAAGGGTATGGTAAATATTGGTTACAACATATTTTTACCTATGGCTACACTGAGTACTTAACGGTATCGCTAACGTGTAATGAAGAGATTCTGACTTTCTGATTTTGTTAGAGGCATTCAGTCAAAACCCTCGGACGATAGCGTGGTATGATTTCTCGGTCGAGCAGGCACATGTACCATTTGTCCGAACCTGCGGTTCCTCTCGTACTGAGCAGGATTTCTTTTGCAACGACAAGTCATCAGTAGGGTAAAACTAACCTGTCTCACGACGGTCTAACTTGATTCTGCAAGTTGAGCAAACGAGTGATTGATTGAAATACATTTACAATCTTAACGGATCAATTACAAGGTTTTTTTGTGTTTGTTTTGTGTTAATTCATACAAAAAATTGGATAAATTAAGCTTCTTAAAACCCCAAAACTCATTGGTTCGAGTCTAAATTAGGTTCACTTGGATAAATAGCTGGTTGTGCAAGGACAACGCTCAACTAATTTCACGATAATCAGTAAACAGAGAGAAGTAAAAGAAGAAAAAATGAGTTCAAATACAATTACATGATGAATAATGAAAAAAAGGTTATTTGTAGCTTGTTATTAAACGGGATCAATTTGTTTATTTTGATTGCCTGACAATCATTGTTTAACCCTTAACTGGTTGGTTAAACTTTCAACCTTTAACCAAAATCTTGAAATAAGTCTTCTTTTTTTTCTTTCCCTAAATGATATTCAATTGTAATCATTGATTAACACTAATACGATCATAATTGGCAATCAATAAACCGTTCAGTCAACATTTTGATTACAATTAACTTATCAGCTTTATTGATGCTCGCTTTGCATATAAACTGTTTTATTATTTCATTTTCATCGACAAGTTTGTCACATCATTTCAATAGACTGAGAATGCTAATTTAACCTTAAGGGTGTAAAGTATCATCAAGTTTCATCAGGTAAGAGTTGAATTGTTTTTTCATTTGATTTCTGTCTTTTTGCTTCTTGTTCCGACTGTTAATGCTGAGTTGAATACTAATTGACATTGAAAGTCGAGTGTTGCCAAGGTAAAAGGTTAACTGGTTTGAGTAAAGGTAAATGACAATTTATGACAGAAACATATTTAATCATGTTTTTTTGTTCCTGTTAAAGTTAATCATAATTCATGGCTGTACCTTGAAATTGAATAATTGAGAGACTTTGATAAAGGGAGAGATTAATTTTGTTGAAGTAAATTCAAATTGAATTAAAGTGTCTCAATTTGTCATGGAGTGACTAATCCAGTGAACCTCAAATTAGCTTGTAAAACAACAAAAGGACTTGAGTTCAGTGAGGCGAGTAAACGGTTTATGATGAACCAATGATTATCTCGACGAGTAAAGTTCATCCGATAATGACAATTGAACACTGCTTTTTATCGCTCTTTCAACTGATTGGCATTTTTCAACTCTTTTCCCATTTTGAGCAAAATTCAATCAAACATTTCGCTGAAAATTCACTGAAATCTGCTGTCGGCAAACTTGTTGCCTGGAGTGGACCTTAGATTTATCGATGAAATTGCGTTATTTATAATCATAAGTGACGCAAACGACTAATGTTGAACATTTGTCATTGATTTGGTTTACTTTAAAAAACAAAAACTTGAACATTTCGAGTTTGCATTTTGAGAAATGATTAAACTTGAAACAACTTGACTCATGCGAGTACATAATTTAAAGCGATAATTTTACTCGCAATATTTATTTATGTCCAAGGTTTTTATACACTAAAGTTGTATGTTGATCATTGGGTTATTTTGCATTATTGTAACAAACTGATGAAAGTGGTTCAAAATGTATTGTTAATGATGCAAGGATAATACATTCAGCAAGTTCTGAAGGAAAAAGAAGAAGAAATTTTAGATTCGCAATATTTTTGGATGGTCATGAAGTACTCAGAATTTGCGAGAAGAAATCGATGAACTATCGAAACAAGAAAAAAACAATTTTATGTATATTGATCGCAATTGCGAACAGTTTTTCGGGACGAACGCATTGTCGAAACAGAAATTCCAGGACAAGCATTTGATGTGCAAAGCTAGAGCTGCCAAGCTTCAACAGGTCGAACAATAAAAATCTTTAATTTGAAAATTCGATTTTCATTGCAAAATTTTCCAATTTTAATCTCCATTTTATTTTTCAAATAAAATTTTAATTCTTCAGAAAAAAAACTTTCGTACGGTGTTGACTCCTAGACTCGACACCTTTTCGTCCCAGACTCGACTATTGAGGTTAATTTTCAATCGATTTGCACTGAGAGTTGAAACAAACTCGACCGTGAAATACAATAATCATTTTGTGCCAACTTTTCATTTGTAAAACAACATTAAATGCAACTTTAATTGATTAAAAGGTGCAACATGATTGGAAGTGAAAAATTGTTAACATTAAACATTGTTGTTTGCCTCATCAAATGGTTGACCGGAAATGAAAGGTTGCCACAAAAGTGACCTTAATGGTGTGAAAGTGGCTTTAAACATTTTTTCTTGTTTTGCCTGATCGACAATTGATTAATCTGTATTAAGTGACTGGACAAAGTTGAGCTTGAAGAAAAAAACAAGAGAAAACGAAGAAGAAGAAAAAGAAAAGAATCTTTTAGCCAAAAGGAAGAGAAGTAAACATTGATGAGAGTGTGGATGATGAAAAAGATGATGACCAAGAAAAATGTTCATGTTTACAAGTAAATATTGACTCAATATTAGGCCAATATGATGGGAAGAAATACGTTGAACGTAACTAAAAATAATGATAACAATGATAATGGTTATAATAAATTCCAATCTCAGCATTTTCCTCATAACTTTTCTGTTCACTTTTTGTGCTTTTCTGAAAGTCTTCTTCCTCACACTACATTTCATCAACATTAAGCTATAACTGACCATTCACTTTGACCAGTTCCTTTTTCCTTTTCTTCCTCTTATCATCACTTGAATGTTTCTTAACCACACATTCTTTGGTCCATTTCATTCCATTGAGATTCCACTCAAAAGATTTCCAACCTTCAGAATCATTCTTTTCCATCATTCAACAGATTTTCATCTTTGTCTTTTCATGCAATAGATATTTGTCTTTGAAACTTTTCAACTTTAAACTTTCGTTGACTTTCATTTTGAGAAGCAAATTGGATTACAATTTTTTACTCAACTTGTTTCATCAAATTCATTTTGGGTTAATCACAATTGAACCTAATCATGATTAATATTGACCTTATTTGTGACTCGTTCAACTGAACCTGATTGGAGGCACGAGAAGCACGTTATAAATGTACAGAGTTTGATTAGTATAATAGTGTTCCTGTTTACCTTGAACCCTTTCAATTGTTGTCTGAATAATTAAAGCGAACCTTCAACTTTACTAGCAATTTTATTCTCACTGGAAACAATTACATTAATTGAAATCAATTGATGAATCAAGTGAATAAATAATCAATGATTATTCAACTATTAAAAGGCATTTTTGTCTGATGATGTTGGCAGGGAAAGAATCAAAAGTCAATTGATTTACAATTGGAAACAAGAATTGAAAGTTTCTTTTTGTTTACCCGCTAAATTGGATTAATCAGTTCTAATTGAATCAAGATGGTCAAGAGATTTATTACCATCATTAACTGCGTGCAATTTTCAATATCAAGTTATAATTGTTCAAAATCTTTCTGATAATCAGTCACAATTAAATCAACTTCATCGAATAGTCCATAAATGTACAGAATAAAAATACCTCAATCTGAAGGAGACTGGAAATTGCAAGCTGATTAGAGGACTTCGAACTCGACAATTTAGAGTTGAACTTTTTTGGCAAAATGGAAAGACTGAATCGAAATAGCTGAATAAACATTGAATTTATTCTTGCAAATTTATAAACGGTATCATGATCAGGTGTAAAATGGCTGAAAATTTCAACTCTTGATCACTTTTGGTTCCTAAAAAATCTGATTATCTTATCTTAAATCTCGATGCAGAGATTAGGTTAGGTAAGGTTAGGTTAGATCTTGTTGTCTAGCCTTTTGCTGTTGACTAATTTGTTGTTACAATAATTCAAAATAATCCAATTTTTAACCTTTGAATCAGTCAAGCTAATCAGCTAAACTTTAAACTCTGACAAAGGTTTTACTGATTAATGTCTGAAAATATACATTTTTAAAATCAAATCAACTTTAGTCATCAAAGTTGTCCTTAGTTTTGACTAATGAGGTTGACTCAAGTTCAACTTTTTTTTTGTTACATTAATAATGCAAAATAACCTAAAATGATGCCGTTTCGAGTCGGATAAGACTGTGACTTTGAATTGGCTTTTCAAGTGAGCAAATACCGAATTGGATTAAACTTGAAAAGATAACCTTGATTTTGTTGCAGACAAAATGAAACGTCTTCGTTGACTTACCCAAAAGCACAGAGTAACATGGTGATGTATACGGAATCTCAAAGTAAGATCCAAACTCGAGTCCATTGTAAATCATTGTTCCTAAACCAAAGCCAACTGCACCAATACGCAAGAATATGGATCCATGAGATCTTTCAGTTTCACTGATTTTTTCCTTCTTTTTCCCATTCATCTCTTTATTACCTGATTCAAACAAAAGAAAGAAATCAAAGAAATGAGGGAAAATTGTTCAAAAAAGAAGTTCAATTCTAAAGAAAATATTTGATAAGAATGATTGGCGAAAATAGCCATTAACAGAATCGTCAATTTTTCAAGGTTCCATCATGTCGAGTCTGATGAAACTGAATCGCTTTTTTTCTCGAACAATAAAAGCAAATAAAAATTTCTCAACACATTAAAAGGTAGAACAAAAATATTCGCCTGTTATTCAGATTAATGTACCTTGAAAAATGAGTGACACTGTTGAATGAAAAGTGAAGGTAAAAGTTGACGGAAATTGCAATGGCAGTACTTACGATTTTGGTCACCTTTCGGTAAATCGTGAAGCAGGTAAACGTAAACATAGAGAAGAAAGAGAAGACTAACTGCGTACAGGTAAAGGTAGAATCCCTGGAAAGACGAAGAGAAAAAACATTTCATTTGGAGTTCGAAATGGAAATTAGTAGACAAATGTTACCTCAAAATAGTATAAAGGAATATTTGGTATTCGAATTTCGGCAGTGAAAAAGGTTAAACAGGTTACGACCAAAAGTTGACCATAAATTGAACTGGCCACGATGAAAGCCGCAGTCCTGCGAGAACAAGTTAGATAACAGTTTAGATTAATATCATTTAGTTGTTGGTCAGATGATGATGATTTTGTGGTTGATGAAGCTGATGAAGTTGATGAGGTTGATGAAGGTAAAGATCGAGATTGGAAACAATTGAAATAACCAGTCAATAGAGTCATGACTTGAAACTTTAAATTGACTTTTTTTTTCTCTTCACAGATTTGGACAATTTGGTGAACCCAAAAAAGGTTGATCAACGTGAAAAGTTGGTCAACATTGATCAATTAAGGTTATCATCATTAAAACAGTTGATAGTGAAAAAGAAAATGTTGATTCGTTTTTTTGTTTGAATGAAATTAATTTCATACCGCATAATTTGTGACTTTGTTTTGTTTTTTGTTTCACTCGTAATGAGCTCACATGATGAGAAGGATGAGAAATGATGAACAATTAAAATGATAAACTTCCGATTGGGTAAAAATAGAGAGAAAGAAAGGCTGTCGGTAAAGGTGGCAATTGGTGAAACATTTAAATGATCAACTTTTTTTTTCGCTTCTTGTTCAACAATCAATAATCTTGCTTTTGGATTAGTTGGTGATTAGTTGAGTTGGTTTAAAGAGTGAGTATGATGATAATGTAGGAGGAGGAGGAGGGTGAAAAGGATGCTGAAAAAGGATCTTGATGTTGCCTGATGTGTGTCAAGTTTTAAAGACATTTGTTTAAGTTTGCAAAAAAAAAGTTTTCTTCTTCTTCTTCATTTTTCTGATTGTGGTTCAATTGAAAGGGTCACAACTATTCAAGAACAATGAAGTTCAATGAGGAGGCTGTTTCAAGGGGGTGGTGAGAGGAGGCTGGATGAGACAGGAAAGGGATAAATGAGCTGAGTAAACAATTTACTTTCTAAAATTGGAAGATAAGAAAGAGTGAACACAAAAAGGCAAAAAGCAAACAATGGCGAAACAAATTTTAAACATTTTTTTCCTAATCTAATATTGGCTCAGAAATGGAGGAAACAGAGGGAAAGAGAGAGAAAAAGAGTTTCTAAATGAGTGCCAATGGAGGTGCCATTGATCGTGCTAATGATGCTAATCTCGAGAGATGGCAAAGTGCTTATGAGAGTGTTGAGTGAGGTTCTAGGTGAAGTGCTGTTGAGCTCTCGCTTAGCCTGTGAAAGTTTAGGTTAGTAGATGAGTAAATTGGTTAGAAGGTGAAGCAGCAGATCAAGTATTTTGGGTCTTTTCGAAAGTTGACCATTTAAATGAACCTTTTGTGTCTTTACTGATGTGTTTTTACTAGCGATTTAGGTTTGATTCTGATAAATGTAACTATTCGAGTTGATTGGCTTGTCAGTAAGTCAGCTAATACTGTGAAGAGTATTGCTTTCAATTGTTACTTTGGACATTCGTTTTGACATTAAGAGGATGAAAATTTTCTGGTTAATTTGGGTTTTTAATTGAAGTTGATTTTTTAGTATTTTGCAATTTTTTAAATACTAACTTTGGATTTTTGGGTTGCCATCGATGTTCACAACATGATGAGGATGAAAAGATTGTATTTGATGATAAATTTGATGATGAAGATGAAGTTGATGTTGATCTACCATGAAATTGAGCTTTCTCAATTGAATCAAGTGATGGAATTGAATGACGAGTTTGACATAAGCGTAAAGGTTTACAAGCAAATGTAATGCCATTATTATTATGATTACTATTATTATTATTATTAACATTATTATTAACATTATTGTTACAATTACTGTAGCTACTGCTAACTGTGCTGATTAACGAAACAATTGATGAACTTCGTCTATTAGAGTCACTTTTAGGTGAAGTTGCAGCCAAAATGGCTTCAGGAATTGTCCGTTTCAATGAACCATTTCCACTGTTCAATGATGATGCTAATTGGCGCATTTTGGCCTGATATTTACCGATTAAATCAACCATTATTAAGACGAGTTAATTGTTACGGTAAATATTGGAAGGCAAAACAAAAAAACAAGAAATTAAAAGCAAAACAAGTTTCTTCCAACAAACTGCAAACGAAAGGCCAACAAAAGCGGAAAACAAAACGCGACTGATTACAATGATTAGATGATAATGATGACAATTACGATGAGTATCAAAGTATCAAGGTTAATGGTTGTAAACAAATTGTCACGTTCATCGTTAACCATTCAATCATAAAGTTGACTCACAACACACAACAACGAAAATTGAAAAACACAGAAAACTTGTAAATCCAAAAATTGGGTGAAAACTGAATTTCCAATTCTCTTTCCGGGTTTCACCAGTTGTTCACCAGACACACACAGACTCACAGAATGATGATGAACAATTAAATACAAAATTCGCAAAATTCAATACTTGTTGTTGGTTGGAATAAAAAAAAGGTAAAAGTGAAGTTGCAAGTTGCAAGTTTATTAGACAAAAGCATTCTCACTAACAGCGAAAGTGAGTCGAGTGAGTTTTGAAGGCGAAGAAAACGTTGACGAAGGAAAAGATTTGGGAAAATGTTTAACCCTTTAAACGATCAAGTCAATTAGCTCAATCAATTAATACAATTAAGACCACCCAAAAATCTTCATTGATGTTTGTTTACACACTTGACAACAACTTTACTGATCAACTTGTTTCCATTATGTTTATTAATAGCAACTTTATTAACATAATTGTATTGATCTTGAATCGATTGAAGCCGAAATTGAGAGAAAAATATTTTCCTTTTGATAACCCGAAGCATTTCATGGTTAAAGGCCTTTTTCCCATCAACGGAAACATTCAATTCTAGGAGTTTATTTTTACATTATTTTGCAATTAATGAAAAGTTGAATTTTAATTAATTATGTTTATTTGCGTCTCTTGTTGTTACAATTAATTTGATTGTCGAAGTTTATTTTTTCGCATTTGTCGGTGATTTGCTTTCGATTGTTTTTAATCACCTTTTTGTCTTGTAATGTCAAGGTTAACAATTTTAACCCGTTATTGATTGGTTGGTGATTAAGATGTTTATTGTTAATCGAGTTGCTTTTTTTGGTTCTTGTTGGTGTTTTTTTTTGTGTTTGTTGCGCTTTGTTTTTCTTTTCTTGTCGTGCTTACTTCGCTTAATGCTCAACAACGGGCCAATTGTTTTTGTCTTGCCGTCTTTGTCTTTACCTCAATTGGTAACATTGTCACCAAGACTAAATATCGTCCTTTATTGTTGCAACAAATGCAACTTTAGCCGTTAATATTCAGAAGCAGAAAATTATTAAAATTTAATCGACAAATCATTTAGTGCGTTAAGAGTCGACAAAATTTTTAAAAATTCAAACTTTGAAATTATAATTGGAAGATCTTTATTGAGTTGGGAAAATCGTCGTTTCTAATCATGTTGAGCAGTTGATGTACCTTGAGATGATTTTATTTTTTGAAAATGAAAGGCTTTTGGAAAGACTTGAAAGTGAGAAAACGCTCGAAAGTCGAACTTTCCTTATCAAGTCTTTTAATATACTTTTTTTGTACTGAAACTCATTGAATTTTAGGGAAACTCATAAATTGACGAATTTTTTATTGGCTGATATAATTCATTGCGAGGTTTTTTCAAAAAATTGAAATTAGAACTATCGAGTTTTTGTAATCCAATTGGGTATAAATCTTGAAACGCATAATGATAGTCAGAATCGCAAATTGAAATAAATCATTCCAATAGTTATTTTAATTGCTTTCTCTTGGCCAATTTTTCTATTTCTATCGGATAAATATGAACTTAGATTTTCAAGAATAGTTCATTCAACTTATTGAAGTAAGTTTTCAATTTATATTCTGATTCTTTTTTCCATTGGATTTAATCTATTACCTCTTCGATAATGTGACCTTTTCATTTAACACAAAAAGCGAGAAAGATTCTTATCTTTGCCACAAAATTTACGAAAAAATATCGTTTCAACTTGCATGTACAATCATTTGTTAATTATCGATCATATTCAAGACACTTTTCAAAAGCCATTTAAGTTTAGTACATTTGAAGACACCTAACAATAGACACCTAACAATAGTTAGGGAAATTATCAAACCTGCAAACTTTGAAGATGTCGATGAAAGCATTTGCAATTTTCTTGTCAACAAATATTCATCTTTGCTATTCAAATATCATTTTCATGCTCACCATTGTTCAACATTCAAATGATCAACTTATTGTCCAAGCGAACATCAAACTCACTTGGAATGGAAAAACATTTTCAAATAACTTTTTCGTTCAAAGACTGTCCTAATGTCATCTTTTAGAAAGCAAAAGCTGAATTTTACACTAAAAACTGCTTTTCCAAGTTTTTCTCTGAAGAGATTTTTCTCGAAATGATTGCGATTTCTGTACAATTCGCTTGGTGAACAATCAATGATTAGTATAATTTTGCAATTTTACAAGTCCAATCATCTAATGGAGCCATTAACTGACCGCCATAAACATTGATCTCTCATTGTTGACAATAATTGTGATTAATGTTGGTAAAGTTGAAAAAACTTGAAATGGTTTAACCAGAAAAAAGGAAGAAAACAATCGATTGAATTAACAATTGAAATGAGACTCAATTGTTGTAGATTCATGTTGTTTGCTTGCTGCTAATGATGATCATGATAACCGGAAACATGGAAAAAGGATAAATGTTTTGTTGTTTTTTACTCTCTCTCTCTCTCTCTCTCTGAATGAGGAACAAAAAAACAATCAGATGAAAGTTGAAAGCTTTTAATAATTATTCCAATGAAGGACAAATTGATGCAGTTTTATTGAACATTTATAGTGATGATCATCATTATCATATAAAGTGAGGATTGGTCAACAAAAAGAAGAGAAAAGTGAAACAAATTGTTTTCATTCTCAACTTGTTGACCATCAATTGGTTCCAAATCGTATCTTGATGGACACATTAGACGTAGACGTGAGTTGATTATCGATCAACAATCCAACTAATCGGTATTCAAGGCAATGTCAGGACAATCAACTAAACATAAAAAGAAATGTTCATAAATGGACTTTTGTCAAATTACACTTCACAAAATTTTCATCAATTTATTCCAATTAAACAATGGAAATCGAAGCAATTTACAAAAATTAAAACAAAAAGTTCGACATTTCAAGGTTCGAATAGAAATCTTGGAAAATGAAATTTCTGATAAATCTCTGAATTCATTGAAAAGGGGAATTAAAAATCTTTAATCTGAAGTGGACAATTTGAAGGCAAAAAATGTCCAATTTTGATTGACTTTAATCAGAAGTAAAATGTTCAGTTAAGTGACTTTTGAAACGTTTAGTTTACCTTGAAAATGATACAAAAAATGTCTTCATTTATTATCATCATTATAAAGGCAAGTTGACACTTAATTGTTGATACTTTAATAGCAATTAAAGCCGGAAATTGAATAATTTTCGGTTCTTTTTTTACTCTTAACAATGAGTTTGATTACTAAATTGTTGGTGAGTTAATCAGAGTAAATGGTGACAAAACTGGTTTAACTTTGATCTTTACAATTGAAATTATTGATTGATTGAGAATCAAATTAAGAGTACAAATAATTATGATTTAGCAACGTTTTTTGCTGCAACTTCAACTCTTAATCTAATAAGAAAATTAATTTTTGTCAACAAAATTGCTTTTCATTGGGATTGACTTAAGATTTTGGGTTCATTTTCGGGTGTCTGGCTTGGGTTAAGGTCTTGGGTTACACACTCGATTGAATCAATTGTTGAAAAATATTGATTTGTAAAGTTGAACAATTAATGTTCATTTTTTTGGTTTAACCAGAGTTTTCGTGTTTACTTTGGTTTGTTGATGAGTTTAATAAATAATTAAATGTGATTTATTTAATTGTTTGTTTGTTTGTTTGTTTGGTGGAATCAAAAAGGTTAATTAATTTGAGGCCTTAAGCAATTGGAAATTAAATTTAAGGTAAATTTAATTTCGGTTGCGACTTTTTTTCTTCGCTTCTATTGAAACCTTATTTTTTGTACTCATTGGTTTCTGTTTAATTGATAAACCTTGCAGTTTGTTGATCATCATCGGGACAAATTTGATTGAGAGTAACAATGAGTTACAATTAAGACAAATTAGTACAATTGTGGTTGAATGGTGAAATGTACGGAATAGTGAAAACTCTCGAGGTTATCAATCAATAGCTTTTACTTTTTTTTCTTGTAAACACAATTTAAAGTTGATTTTCGCGATTCTCACCATTTATTAATTAACTGGAGGACATTGATCAATAGAAGAATCATTATTATAATTAACGTTTATGTTGTAAGATTCACTATTTGTATAACCCTTTTCTCTATCTCTCGCTTTCTCTCTTCAATCAAATTGATCAACATTTGGTTGCTGCTTTTGTTCAATTAATTGTTAATTTCAAGGCTTCATCTCTGCATTTTGGTTTCACTTTGAAAATTTACATTAAACAAGGTTATCATCAGGTATTCAGTTCATTATTGGATATTCAAAAACACAACTTCAATTTTTACATGTCAACGTGATTTGTGTGTGCACCAATTATTTGTTTATTTGTTACTCCAATCAAATCAGCAATTGCAATCAAAGTGAGAAACTTCATTTTGTTAGAGTTGATTGAAGGATCATTCAAATTTGTCTAATAAAAAACCATCAGAAATACATTGACGCTGTCAACAGGCAATCAGTTGGGTAAATTAATTCATGGTGATTATGCTTGAGGCTGGTTTGTAAATGCAAACACTTTAAGCAATCTGGATCAATGGGTTCACAATGGGTTAACCAGTTGTCGAAGAGGCGTTGGTGAAAACACTGGCGTTGGGTTTAACACCAAAAGGATGGTTGAGGCTATTTTGGAACTTCCAAGATTAATTTAATCGACGTTTCGTAATTTGTAAATATTGAAATGCCTAGCAAGGTTAAGACTTGTAAGAGTAAAATGTTGGAATGGAAAGACTATGAAATAAACTAGAAAGTTTATCATTATGATCATCAGCATTGTTGTTATATCACGTAACACTTGGGATAAATTTTGTTGCTTGTTACCTGGATGTAAAGTTATAAGGTAATAATAGCTGCAACTAATGGTAATAACGATAATAATAATAATAAACTGATGAGTTTATTAATTCTGGAATCGTTTAGAGGATAAACTCATTTTTGTTGATGATATATTAGTTTTAGTTTTGTTTAGTCTCTTTTTTTAGTTCCTGTTTTCACCAGCTTCTGGCTTACGACTAGACATTGTTGGCCATTCAAGTGTTTAATATTATCAATAAAACTGGAAACGTGTTCACCTCTTAATAACGAAACGTTCAGGGAATTCAAATTTAACCATTGGAAAAAATAGTGAATGGATGAGTTGGAGGAAAACAATAATCAAGAATAGTTTGTTGCCAAAACTTTCGTTGAGATTAGACAATATTATTTCATCTGGCAAATATCATCACAGCTGAGCGAAAGGAAACTTTTTGCTGTTCTGGTAATGGCTTTAAAGCTAGCAGTGATGAGGATAGCAGGCTACAGCAGAAACCAATTCAGTTGAGGATAATGACGATTTGAGGTACTTTTTTTCATGATATCCCATGGCCATTGGGGATAAGGGAAAGGCTTGATGAAGATTGGAGGAGGAACCAGATGCGAGTAGTCAGATAAATAAGAGGAGTGTAGAAAGAGTTGAATTGATTAAAGTATCTTGATGTCGTTGATGATTTCCAATGAAGTTTGAGAGCAAAGGTCCAACAGTGTTATTTCTTGAATGATCTTTTAAAATGAGACTTGAGATGATCATTTATGACAGGCTATTATAATTCCAAATTATTTTGATCATATCCTTATTGAAATCCAATTTGCTCTGATGAATTGGTCGATTGTCTGGAGATAAGGAACACATTGGCAAAACTCAGCCACTCTATTTGTTGTGATTAACATTTGAAGTTAAACAGGAAAGATGAGATGATACCATAATTGTAAGATTCATTTCCATTGAAGATTGGATTACATTTGGTTATTGTTTGATGGAAATCTGAAAATATTTCTTGTATTCCTCTGCCAGCATGTCTACAAAAGAGTTTGTATCATTCCAAGTGAAATATATTTAAATTTAAAAATAATGATGGCACAGAAGAAAAGAAATTGTTTTTGAGTTAAAACTAATCACCGATAGTCGAATTTCTTGGTAAATAAATAATATCAGTAATGTACGAAGAGCAGCAAAGGGTGATGATATATGCTGTGAATAGTAAAGCAATTGTTTTTCATGAGGGAAAACCAAGTGATCTCTGTATATGTGTACATATAGAGTTTCAAGAGTAGGAAATAATTTTCATGGTAAACTTTGGTGTTTTGGAAACTCAATTGAGTAAATATTTGCCATTCCTATTGAAATAATACCATCTCGGATCCAAGAGGAAGAGAATGAAAGATGCAAAGAGTTTTGGTTTCTATCTTTTCAGCCTTTCAGACTGTCTTTTGTTTCTTGAGAAACACCAAAGAAATCCTCTTCTTTAACAGATGAATCAATGTCAACAGGATTCATCATTAGCAGAATCATCAGTTAACACCAAGAACTAACATTTTCAGCAAATTAACATCATTAATAAAATAGTCAATCAATTTTATAAAAATAAACATCGAATCACAATAAAAAAAAAATTATCCACTTTTGGGTTGTTGACCAATGTTTGTTAATCCTTTAAAAGATTAACCGTTAAAATTGTCATTTACTCTACTTTCCAATAGATGACGCTTGAATAAACCCGGCAAAGAGTCAACATTTTTAAAATTAATTTATTAACTAGTCATTATTATTTATTAAGCCGGTTGATTATCAAAACCTTGATTAAAATTGAAGGTGAAACAAATCCTTGGTTCATTTGGCCTAACATATTTAGTAAGTAGAAGAAAATACAGTGAAAATATTACCTTGTAAATTGTTAACCTTGTTGCTACTGTTTTTCCGGTTAAAATAGCATAAACTCACCGGGAAAAGTGAAAAAACTTACATTTGTCTACAAGGTTGTGAATCAGGCAAATCCCTTTTTATTATTGAATTAACTAATTTAATTTACATACTCTAACTACTCATTTGGAGCAAAATTAATTTTACAAGTTACTCTTTACTTGAGAAATTATGAGTTTCCTACAAAACTGGTTGGTTGGTGTGTTATTTACAGAGTACCATTGCCCATGTTAAAAGTGCCATCATGAAATGACCAGGTTAGTATCTTTTTTATATACATTTTTATTTATATACAATATTGGATCAATTGTTATTATTTCTATTGAATTGTCAGTTTTTTTCTTATAAGAAAGGTAATCGATTTACTTGCATCTCAATGCTCTTTTCAGGTTGATCAATTGAAACTCAAAAGGCTTTTCCAAGTAGCCAGTGAAAAAAGGAGAGGATTCAACAAAAGGACGCTGAAAAAGAAGGAAAAAGATTGAATGTTTTCTCATTTTTTAACATTCCCCCATTATTATTATTCTGATCAAAGCTTGAATAAGATGAAATCAAATTATCAAGACTTGAACAAGAAAAAAGGAGGAGGAAAAAAAGGAACAAGCAAAGGAAATCAACAAAGGAAAAAGAGGAGGCAAAAAAAAGGTTGACCAGTTTGGAGAGGAAAGAAGTGATTTTGATCGTAAAACAAGTCAAAGTTAAGACAAAATGTTTCAATATCATATTCACTAAACAAACTGGAACATTTAATACTATTATTATCGTCATCATCATTACACAATTTATGCATAAATGGTGTCTCTTGGGGCTATTCATTGAGAACTCTTTTGAATCAATAACAAGTCATCTTTAAAAGTCAATTACTCTGGCTTTTGGAGGAACCATGAAAGACTGGAAGAGAAGAGAATAAAAAAGCTACAAATTTCTTCATAAAAGTCTATTTTCATATTAACAGATGATAATAGTCGTTCCTGTATTGTTACCATTTGTAACATATGATAATGGTAAGGATGCCTCAATTTATTTTGAATATTTGATTTGAACCTAAATGTATTATCTTGTAGAGAAGCTAAAAAAAAAGTAGAGAAGATGAAAAATGCATTTAAACTGTTATTAGAATCATTGATTTTTATTTCCATTTCAAAGGTCATCAGAGATTATTCAGAACATTCTGAGTCTCCTGAATTGGATAAAGTCAGTGAACAGTTTGTTTGAACCTCAAAAAGTGAAATCTTTTTATATTTTCTTTCGAAAGTTTGTCATTTTGTTCATCACTTTGATTTGTTTTTACTCTATTCTGGTAATTTTTACAATCAATCATATCTGATTGAGTTGGTTCAAGGAATCTCATCAAATATGTTACAAAAATCTTGATTGATTGTATTGAATAATATCAAAAAAACTGACTATGAATATTCACTGTTTGTTTATTTTCTTTTTCTCCTCTAGGAAGGAATCATTTTTGCTCAAATCCCTCATAAATCATGGAATCATATATTTAAAGGATATTCAATTGTAATTACCATTTGAACTATTTTGGATGTAACTGATTGTTGGTCAAACCCACCCTCTCGTCTCTCACCATTGGTAATACAAAGATGTTCTTTGATGAAATTGTTCAATGATGTCAAGAGAAGCAAGATAAAATCTGATTGGAATCTCTGGATTTAATGATATAATAAGACATCGTAATTATGTTGGACTGGCAGTTTTTTCTTAACAGACCCAATGTTTAGATGTTTCTGTAAATTGAAATGTTTTCACATCTTTACTGGTATCTCAATGGATCCACTAACAAAACCAAGTTGGTTGATTTGTTGAAACAAGAATTAACTGATGGTTTATCAACTTTGTTGATTGTAACTGTGAAAGGATTTATTGATTAGCTAATATAGTTGGGTTCACGGAAAAAGAGATAAAATAACCTGAACAAAAGCAGCAAAAGAAAAAAGTGTAAACATGATCAATGGTAAGATGAGAAGATGAAAGTGATGAGGATGAAAAATCGGGTTAAAAAGAGTGAAGTTGGATAAATGGGTTTTGCTGCTTTCTTGATATTGTGATATTTGGTTAGGAAGATTTAGTAGATAAATGGAGGAGAAGAAGAAAGAAAGATGAAGATAAAGATGAAAAGAAATAGATAAACATGACAAAAGTTGAGCAAGTGAAAGAGAAATATGATGATGAAAATGAAGAGGAACCATTTTGTTGAGGAACCAAAAGATAGATACATAAATCTTTACTGGAAATTGCCAATTGACAATAATTAATCTATTAGAGCAAATTGTATGATTAAATAATGATTTGTTGAAATGTTGCTGTTGCTCAGTTTTTTTCACACTGGAAACCATTGTAAACACTTTAAAATATTGAAAGCAAACAACTGAAATGATGATGTAAAGCTTCATCATTTCAGTTGATTAAATGATTAATGAGACTTGATCATTGTGGTGTAAATGGTTGAATCAAATATATAAAAAAAATCTTTTCACTTGAATGAATGTTAATACCAAAGAGGTAATAGAAAGTGAATGAAGTAAACAGTGATTCAACTCTTATCCATTCACTATAATCAAATTGTATTGTTGTAGGCAATGTTAACAACGGTAATTACTATAACAACTAAAGATTTGGATTAACAGTTGTGGATACAACAAACTGGACACTTTATGCCCGTTTCAAATGTTTGTTTTCAAGGGTTCAATAATTACTGTAATTGCTATGTAAAATGAGGAGAAAGTTGATAAATTGATCCGTTACTGAATTGAATGTGTTAAGAGTCCATCTTTGTTTGGTTCCCATAGACTGTTAGTATCTAAGGTCAAATGTTTATGTGATTTTTGGGTTTTTGTGTTTTATTTTTGGTACTTGCAAGAGCAAAGGTTGAACCGGTTTTTTTGCTTGTTATTTAAAACTATGTTTTCAATCTTTGCCTTTAACCTTGTTTGTATCTTTGTGTGTACTTCAGCCTCTGTGTTGCGGCCTTTTCGGGTCACCACATTTTCAAGGCAACCCAGAAAGTCACTAGTATTAAGGTTAACTTGAGAAACCCAAAAATTGTCTTATTTTTGCTTACTTCAATAGGTTTACACAGTTACAGATATAAAAATGTTTGACTCTTTTAACTGTCAACCTTTTACTTTACTTTGGTTAAGTTTCATTATCAAGTTACTCTTGGTCAATTGATTAATCATAATTAAGTTGCATTTTTACCCTTTTTTTGCCTGGTTGTGGCCTTAGATTTAATTCAATTTAGACCTTTGATTTAGAGTTGGTAATGAAAGGAAAAGTTAATTAAAGATATTTTTGTGCACAACTTTTGTTCCCTTGGTTTAATCATGGTTAATCAATTGAACAATAATAAGAAAGTAAACTTGTCAGAGTAATTTAATTAACTCAATAGATAACAATGAGAATAGAAGAAAAGATTGTATTGAAAGTGATGAGAATCCTTAATAAGTTGATAATCATCTACACATATTAAGTCCAAACATCGCTTTTTGTGGCCAAACTAAAAGGCTTCAAAAGCGCCAGGTTTACCGAAGCCATTTGTTGTTCAGAAACAAAAATGAATGCATTTTCTGGTTGAACATCAAAAGTTGCACCAGAAAAGTGATCTTGGTTAAAGAATCGGTTAAAGTCGATTTAAGGGAAGATAGTTTGAGTTTATTAATCTAAATGGATGGCAAAAAATTAACTCTAGTAATCAAGTTAACACGATTAACCATCATTAATATTAATGTTGGTTGATTTCAAGATTTTGCAAATTGTGAAGGAAATTTAAAGTCAACTGTTTCAAATAGGAAATGTCATTAATCCATAATCAAGTGGCAACAGTTTCAACTGTAGACTAGATTTTGTTTGACTCTTTGATTTGCAATCATCAAGTGAATATGATTTAGATGATGATGATTCTGATTTCTACTTACCATGCATAAGAAGGTTTCTTTCTGTATTGAGTCATTGTCTTTGTATCAGCGGATCCACATCGATCACTGTTAAGCATGGCAACCTCAGTAGATGAAATGGTTGTTTCTTGATCACCTGAATTTGAATTTCTTTCTTGACACGAAATTTCCAAAACTGTTTCACCAACACAAGATGTAAACATCTTTTCCCACATAGTTCCTGGAAGATAACCCAATTCCGGCTGAGCAACTGTCAACTGACCGTTACTCAAAGGATTGTTGTTATTGTTGTTGTTAACTGGCTCTTCTGGTTCAGCTTCTGTTGAACAGTCAACAGTCAAACCAAGGGTTTGATGGTCGGTTAAAGGATCACACGAAGTCACTTTGACGCTTATCTGTACCAATCAACCAAAGAAACAAGCAGAAAAGCACACTAAACCTTCAACACAAATCAATGACCCAACTAGCAGCACATTAGTCAATGTTGGTCAACAAAAGATTGCAAGAATCGCAAAAATTGCAGGTTAAAAATAAAAGCACAAAATTGGCGAAAAACATAAACAAGGAAACAAAATGTTCACCGTAAAAATGGTTGTCAAATGGATTTGATTCCAGTAAACAGGATTCAAATTGGATGAGCTATAGATAATTAGATGTTAAAATTAATGATGATACTGATGATGTTGATCCTGTGGATGGTTAAACTCACAGCATGAAGAGTAGTGAGTGAGAAGGGTCTAAAAATTGAATGTTAACCGTGATTAGTAAATGGGAAAAATAAAGAGAAGATAAAATGTTGTTTCTATGGCATTTACATTGACCAGAGTCCGTTTTAACCGCGTTTCTTGCCTTTTGCCTTTTGCCTTTCATAATCACATCCCCTTAACCACTCCCAAGAAGATACAACGGACTGGAAAAGAAGAGAAAAGAAAGAGAAAATTTTTAGGCCTAGAAGCTCTTAAAAATTTACTCTCTTCTCTTCAACGGCCATTTCTCTTTCGCATTCCCTTTTCTCTCTCTCTTCCCTGTCTATCGCCTTTTTGGGTTTCACTTGAAGATGATAAAGATAGAGAAGATGAAAGATGAAAGAAGAGTGGAGGAGTGAGAGACAAAGAGAGGAAAGTGACTGAACGCAAAGGCAAAGTTGAGGTGAAAAATGGAAGAAACGAGAGACTCAAAAGAGGCTTGAAAGATGCTGATGATGGCGATGATGATGATAAGGCTAATAATGAAAAGCGCAAAAAATTGATCTTGATGTCAATTAATGATTATAAAGGCATTTCTTGCTTTGGCTACTTTTGCATCTTGAATCAGCCCAAGGCAGTGAATATCTTTGCCTATTTTTATTACAAAGAGCTCATCTAAAGTTATCAATTTAAAGTCCATCATCTTCATCTTCATCCTCATCATCATCCAACCTTGTAACAAGATAAATGAAAGAAGGTGAAAAGCAATTTTCAACTTTTCTATTGACCTTATTTTTCAGGTAACTTTGAACAACTTGTTCTCACTGCTTCTGTAACAGTAACCTAAAGATTGTTACATCAATAATAATTTGCCTTTTCACTTAATTGTTCAAACAATATTTTTCCAGGTTTAGCCTTTTCTCCATTGAAAAATTGTCCAATTTGTTTGGTTACAATTTAGATGGCAATTTCAATGATGTAATTCAATTTTATATTTAACTTTCAATGTTTAATCAGTTTCACCAGTTGGCTCAGTTTCATGTAAACAGACAATTTGTGTTTACTTTTTCACTGTTCAATGTTTACTGTAACTTGATTACAATTAAGTTGATATTGAAATATTGAAAGAAAACATTGTAAACATTGATCGATGGTTTCACTATCAAATTACTGGTTAATTGTTTAATTGGTTTAATGCAGTGGTTGGCTTTAAAGACGTTTAGTATTGTTTTACAAATGATTGGATAATATTTTGAAGGTTCATTTAGACATCATTTTGGGTGTAAACATGATGTTTGTCATCAAATTTCATCAAAAGAGGAAGATGCATGGAAATCAAGATTGGAAAAGGTTACCAAATGTATCAAAACTGATGATGGAATCGTTTCTCTTTCACTTTGTTACTCAACAGAATCAATTTAAGCTTGAAAAATGCCATTTTCAGCGGATTCCTGGCCAACATATACCACTGGAAATTTGATAGTTTTTCATGATCGCTGTATAATCAACTTGCATTGCAATAAACTAAATCATCTTTTACCAGATTTTCATTTTCTTTTAATAGCTTCTCCATCATCAATTGGATTCACTAAATCATTGATTTCATGGTCATTTTCATCTGAAACTTTCAATCATCTTTCATAATTTTAATAATCAATAATAGAGTAAACCTTTTGCTTTCGTTTAAAAGCAACATCCAAATGAATGGAATAAAGAAAATTCAATTTTTAAGCTTTTCTGTTTCATTATTTTTCGCACAAATTAATTTAATGATAATTATTTTCCCATTTGATTGCTTTAATTGTCTTTTTATTAATTATGCTCATCATTAGTTGCTTTCAATGTTGTACAAGAGGTTTGTTTGTTCAACCTCAAGATTTGCTTTATTCATCAATGATTGTGTTAATTAGATTAACTAAATTTCATCTGAATTTAGATGAAATTTTCGGCTGTGGTTAAGCTGATTAAATAAGTCAGGTAAGAATAAATTGAAACAAATTAAGCTCAAGTGAAAGAGTTTACGGTTAATCCCGTATTCCACTTTGTTTTTCAATTATATGTTTTTGCCCTGCATTGCTCTGCTTGTTCATTATTAATCTGTTAATCAGTTTACAATTGTGCATTTCAAATCAACTTATTAAGTATTAAAATGTTATTACAAATGGTTAGGAAGATTATTCAAGTCAGGGTAATAATAATACTTTGATGACAACAAAATGTTTGGGTTTACTTGGGAACCAAGATTGCCTTTCGTCCGATTACATGTTGAACAGTCATTTTGGTAAAAACATTGACAAATTTAAAAGGACAAGTTTGTTCAGTGAAATTATCTTGTAAACATTGAGAAGATTCATGATATTATCAATGAACATTTGATGGAAAATAAAAAGATGAATAAATTTTAGAAAAGATTTAGGTTGAAATGGGTTTGGAAAATAAATTGCGAATATAAGTAAACAACTTATTGGTGAATTTTCTGGTAAATGCCTTTCTAAGCAATTATTTGAATGTAACCAGAATGTTTAAAACATTAAACACTATTTTAATGGAATCACAGTTTTATTAACATTGAGTGATAATTTAATAAGTCAATGTGTTTAAGGTAAAAGTAGAATACCGAAATGATTGAATCAAGAATATCTAAATTGTTAGCAGTTTAGTCTTATATCACTTCTCATAGTCTTATTTACTTGTAATTAAGACGAATTCCGAGCTTAAAATCATTGCATCGAATAGTTGATCCAATGCTAGATCTTCTTGGTCATGAATCAGTTTGTATCAACTGTATCGCTAGCATTAGCTTTCAATTGTTTTGTAAATATATCCATTTTATTGGGTTTAATAGCAAAGAAACTTGAAATGTGATTACATTTGACAAATTGACAAAAATGGGCAAAAACGGGTAAAAATGCACTTATTTCAAATTTAGATGCTTTTGGTTTGTAGGGAAATGAAAACTGAGTCCATTTGGGATATTAAAAAATTTCTCACATCAACAGTTTTCGAGAGAATCAAGTTCAAAGTTGGACCTTCGATCGCCTTTTATTTGATTATGTAACTAGATTTTTTCTTGAAACTCGGTTAACTAATGTAACTTTTGATGAAAAAACAGAAAATGTACTTATTTTGAGAAAAAAAAGTTTCAATTTTCTGTAAAACAGATCAGTTCGAGTTTTAGTTTAACCGACCGTTCTTTGTGACGGTAAAAGTTAGAGATCTGAAACTTATTATTCGTCCATAAAAATTACTAGCCCACAACATGACAGGAATATTTTTTTCAATTTGTCAATAGTTCTCTTGATTTTGGACATTTACCTAAAAACTTTTAGCCTCAATATATCGAGAATGTTAGTTTCTACAATTCTTTCACCAAACATTAGACGCAATTATGGGCTATAATATGATATGACTAAATATCGAATAAAACCCAAGCTGATGAATTTAATAATCAATATCCTCAAACACATAAGATTCATGTTTGAATAGTCATTCACCTTTATAAATCAAGTCTCAATACTGACAACATAAGTAATACTATTTAATAACTTTTTTTGTAAGATCTTGACTAATTGAATATTCCACTATGTTATAGCCCATAATAAAGTCTAATGTTTTATCAAAGAATGGTGATTTTAAATATTACCTTGATCGAAATATTGAGGCTCGAAGTTTCAAGACAAATGGCCAAAATCAGGGGAATGGTTGATAAATTGAAAAAATTATTTAATCCATAATGTGTAGCGACAATTTTTATGTAATAATAATAAGTCTCTGCTCGCTGACTTTTATGGTCACAGAAAGCGATCGGTTCAACTGAAAATTGAATTTGATCTGTTTTACAGAAACGGAAAGAGTTTTTCCTCAAAATATAACCATATTCTGGTTGTTCATCAAACGCTAGATTTGCATGATGAGTCTCTTGAAAAGATCTGCTTGCATAGTTGCACAAAAGTCGATCAAAGTTTCAACTTTAACCACGATTTTCCAGAAAACTGTCCATCGGACGCATTATTCAATAGCATCGATGGACACAGTTTTTCTGTCCTTACAAACCCACCAAGTCTCAGGTCTTAAATCAAATGTTCGAGTCTACAGCCCTACTTTTTGCATTTTATTTGCAAGTAAAACCAGAAAATTGGTTTATTCACCAAGAAATGCATTAATATGAGTTTGTTTTGTTTAATTAGTTGTTGCTCGTCTATTTACAGCCCAAAAATCATAAGCCAAATGCGCTAATGGGAATTAAACAAATTCAATTGAATTATTGATTAGTAAAGAATCAAATTGGGAAAGAATGATGGTTGTACGTGATGCCATTCTCGAAATATTGAGTCGAAAAGTTTTAAGAATAAAGGCCAAAAACAAGAGAACTATTGGTTTATGATCAAACATATGCAATCCAAGCTGTGGAGAAACAATTTTTATTGACTTGAAATAAGTTTCAGATTGCTTATTCTTATGGTCCTAGAACTAGGTCGGTTTAGCTAAAGATCGAACTAATCTATTTTACAGAAAAAGAAAAGTGCTATTCCCCAAAATGAATACATATTCTGGTACATCATCAAAAGTTAGATCTGCAAAATGAGTTTCATGACAAAAGCTGCTTCCATAGTTGAGCAAAAGGCGATCGAAGTTTTAACTTTGAACTCGATTTTATCGAAAATTGTTCATCAGAGAAACTTTTAAATCGCACAAATGGACTTAGTTTTTATGGCCCTACAAACCAAAAGAGTCTAAATTTGAAAGAAACTAATGCTTGCCCATTTGTGTCGATTTGTGCAAAATGTGAAAATTGTGTCTTTGCAGTAACAACTTATAATAAGCAGAAAAATTGTTATTGTGGTTATTTTCGTTGAATTGAAGGTAAAGTAATACTTTTGATTGTATTAGCAGTTTAATAGTTTGATGTATTTTGATTTCAGTGAATGTAAATTGATCAAATTAACAGGATGATTGTCAAAAAGGGAATCTATGATGAATAAATCACAGTGATTAAGAGGAAATAGAATGTCAAAAATGAAATTTCTCTCAATTCTTATGATTGACCATACATTTTATAATGGTATTTACTGTTGTTAACAATCTTAATAGCCAACATTTAGATTGAAGAATTGTTTTATTAAGCTCAACACTTAGCAAAATAAATAAATGCGTCAACTGAAGATTGCCTTTGGACTCTTCTTATTGTTTCATCTTTCAAAATGTTGTGTATTTCCTCGTGATGAAGATGAATTTCGAACTACATGTCAACTGATTGAATCTCGTCACTTCATTTGCGAGGAGCATAAAGTAGTTACTGAAGACGGTTATATATTGACTTTACATCGAATCGTTCACCCAAATGCTTCATCAGCTCATCTTGAACCAGTCCTTCTTGGTCATGGATTAGGTGCTTCATCATCATGTTGGATATTTGCTGCTCCAGGAGGCGATGCTAAACCAATTGGGACGCAATCATTTAAAGGATCCGAAGAAAACAATTTAGGTTTTGTTTTAGCCAACCAAGGATGGGACACTTGGCTTGCAAATTTCCGTGGAACCAGATATTCACAGCAACACGTTAAACTTAATAATGGTCCAGGTAACCCAAAAATTGTTGTCATTCTCTCACAATCAAGTAATTTTGGAAAATTAATAGAAATCTCTTTATAAGGTAAATATTGGCGATTCTCATTTGATGAGATGATTAAATACGACACACCGGCTTTCATCCATTTCATTTTAAATAAAACTGGACGAGGTAAGAATTAAAAATAGTGTTTAATCTTTGAAACTGTTATTACAAATTGTCACTGGATATAATTTCAGCTACTTTGGCTTATATTGGTCATTCCCAAGGAACAACAATCATGACAGGATTCTTGTCCACAAACCCTGGATATGGCAAAGTTATTAAACCTTATATTGCTTTGGCTCCTGTTGCTTATGTTGAAAATACTTCAGCGGCTATTAGACTTCTTGCCGACATTCCTAATGCAGTTTCTTTGTTGTCTCTTTATGATGGGCCAGTTGATAAAGATCATGCATTGATCAAGCTTATCTCTTCATTGGCTTGCAATCCTTTGGATTCACTGTGTTCTGGGTTTTTCTTGTTATTTGGAGGAATCAATCCAAATTCTTTAAATGGACGAGTCTATGTTTATATTAGACAGCAGGATACAGTTTCTTCTCAAGATTTAGTCCATTATGGTCAAAACATTGCTGATAGAAATTTTGAATTCTACAATCCTAATCCAGTTGGAATACTTTCACCAGTTGGTTTGATTAGCATTTTAACTCCAATATCTATGACAAGTTTACAACCAAAAGTGGCAGCTTATCCGTTAGAGGATATTATTTCATTGGATATTCATCTGATTGCTTCATGTAACGACTACTTAGCCGTATCTGAAGATATTGATAGACTGGTCAGAAAATTAAAAGGTAAGTTTATTGTAACTATCAGTGTTATTAATGTTGGGCTTTTTCTGCAATTTGATTATTATATCATGACTTTCTTTCAGTTAAACCAAAGCTACATTGTTATTTGAAAGATCTACTCTGGAATCATTTCGATTTTTTAATAGCTTGTGATTTATGGAAATTGAATGGTTTAGTTGTCGATATTTTAGAGAGCTATCGGACTGGTCATTGGAAAAGTAGCCTTGGATATTCCAGTAAAGAGGAAGAAATTGAATCACTTTGTCGGTCCTCTTGTCCTGCAACAAACACAATAACCAATATCTTTGGATCAAATACTCCAAGAATTGTTGATGGATTGAATGATGTTCTTGGTGGTCTTGGATCGAGTGTTTTACGCTCTGCAAATCTCAAAACATTAACATCAGCAATAGCACCAGCTCTGGCGATCTTCTAGACCAATCATAGGTACTTGATTTATGACGTTTTCACGAGTTATTATTATATAATGTCAACTGGATTAAATTTCATCCACAGGTTATTTATTAATAACTTTGATCATATTTACGTACTTATTATCAATTGTTTCGTATATTTTATATAAATTTGAGAAATTTCAATTGTAAATCAAAGTTAAATAGTAATTTTATTATAATTTGAATTGATATCAACTTTACAAAAGTGTCAAGTTTTTCTTTTGGATAATTCAATGTTGAATCTCTTTGAGCTTGATAATACGCTTTGATGATTATAATAATAAGTCAACGCTGAGAGTTTGATTCACGTACTTTATTAAATGAGGAGATAAGATTCAAGTAAATTTGTTTACTTTGTATTCAGAATAGTCAATTTAGTTTGTACATCAACTTAACCATAAACAATATAACAATTGATTGCAGGTCGACTAAAATTAAATTAGTTAATGACGACTTTTAGATACAAGAAGAGTTGGAGCTCAAAGATTTACATGGTGATGAATGTTTTAATTTTTTAATGCTTTATTTACTAGTCTTACTCCTTTTACCACCAGTTTTTCCTCCACTTTTAAATCCACTTTTGAATGCACCTTTGCTTCTACCTTTACCTTTGCCCTTACTTTTGAGTTCTCGTTTTTTAGCTACTTTATCTTTTTTCAGTCGCCCATCCACCAATTTATAACGACCTTTTAATCCAGCAGGCCTTTTGTTGATTTTGCCCTTTTTCGCTACAACATATTGCAATTCCTTTTTCTTTTCTCCTTTAAGAGCTTTTTTGTATAAGCTGTAAGACAAAAAGAAAAAAATTACGTTAATTTTGTTCCAATAAAATCAAGAAATATATAAAACTTACTTTTTAATGGTTGCCATCTTTTCTCGTTCACTCATATCTGAAGCATCAGTTAATGCCTCGGCCTTTTTGCGAGCTCGTTCCAATTTCCTTGTTGCTCGTTTACGTTTTCTGGCATTAGCTTCGGCTACTTTCTTGATTGGTCTAGCATTTATTTCTTTCAACTTTTTCTTAAACTCATGAACTGTAGATGCAGGAACTGGCAATGGTTTGTAGAAAAATATATCTTCGTCTTTTTTGAACCAAGAAGGAAGAGCCTCGTGGTCAGAATGCATATAACGATTCCAAGCTTGATCAGTAATCTCTCTTCTCATTTTAGCTGATTGAATTAAAACAGATCCTAAAGCCAATTCTTCTGGATTTAATCTAACATTAGATTTACATCTTTCACTAAGAGTTGGCGTTTTATCCACTTTATCAAGTAAATCATCGTCACTTTCGTCGTCATCTAAATCAGTTTTACCTTTGGCATCAGTATCGAATCGAACTTTTTTGGAAGCTGAGCCACCGGAAGATGATTTTCGAGACTCTTTGGATTTAGTTAAGTCTTTTTTCGTTGCTTTTTTCTCTTTCTCTTTTAACAATGCCTTTTTCTCTTTCTTTTCTTTTCTCAGTTGTGAAGCATTCAGTGCCATCGCTGCCAAATCATCTTCATCGTCAAATTCATCGTCATTGAAAACACCTCTTTCAAGGAAAACCCGATCTTTTAAATTTTTTGGCCTATCATCGAGATCAACAAGAAGTCCACCTCCTGTCTCTTCATCATCCTCAGCATCTTCTTCTTGGTCAACATTTGTATCGATTTCTTCAAGTTCATCGATGTTTGATTTGTTCTCTTCTTCATCACTAAGAATTTCGTCTGGATTTCTGTTCACATCTTCAAAATCATAGTCATCTTTCGCATGACGATCGAAATAAACTTTTTTCAATTTTGGATCATATGGTTCCTCGTCTTCCGACTCAACAGTATTGGGTAAATGTTCATCAAGAATATCGAGATCAACATTCTGGAATCTTTCAAGCTCAGATCGATTTTTCAAATGTCTCAATGTAAATAATTCCATGTCATCTTCCTCGTGAAGCTCATTTTCGTTTTGAATCATTCCCAGATTCATTCTGGCATTCAACTTTCTTCTTTCCTTGAGAATCTTTTTCTTTTTCCTTTTCAATTCGTTTAGTTCTTCATCGTCTTCATCTTCCAACTCTTCTTCTGGTATTACTTTAACTTCTTCCAGTTCTTTACCTTCTCCTTTTTCTTTAGGGTAGAGCTCAGCTCTGATTTTTCGCCTCCATGCGATCAGTTGCCTAAGAAATGAATAAAATCAAAGGATTAGTTAACAGATTAAAGCAAGAACGAATTCAAAACTTACAAAATTTCTTTCCGTCCAAGAACTTTCAAGTCTTTTATTAACTCCTTTATTTCATCTGTAGTAGATGCATGATTCGCAATAGCTTCAGTATCTAAAACCATCTGTAAACAAAAAAGTAAAATGGAATAAAAACACATTATTAGAATAAAATAAAGAGTTTAAAGATCAAAACAATTACCTCATTGGAATCGCTTAGAAGTTCGATGTGATTGGTTTTGGAAATGAATTCAGAAGCATTTAATTTGTGATATAAAGTATCTCCTTCTTTATATCCTTCAGCTTTAGCTTTCTTCTGTTTAGATACAGGTTTTAATAATTCTGCTTTCTTTTTCTTCTCATCATTTTGATCTGGAATTTCTTCAAATAAAAATCCTGGGTCGAAAAATTTTGGATCAATTTTATCAGGTGCAAGATATTTTTCACAGACAACGAAAATCTCAGCGGACTCATGACGAGAAGCTTGTGGTTTAGTAGCATGAACTTTTCTGAACAATTTTCCTAATAACCACATGAGTGCATTGTAATCTCTGGATCGAAAAATTTTGGTAATAAACCATCCACCTTTCATCAAAAACTCTGTTGCTAATTGAACTGCACTCAAAGTTAAACGAATTTGAGCGAAAGCATCATGGGTCCAACTTTTACCAACATTTGGAGCACCATCGTTTAATATGACATCAGCTTTCCAAGTTTTCAGTTCTTTCTTAATTAAAGAGCGACACTGTGGTGTAGTTATATCACAAGCAAATGTTAAACAATTTGGAATTGGTTTTATTGGAACCAAATCAATACCAATAATGACGCTGGAAACAGGCATAAACTTTTGAGCAACTTGAAGCCATCCTCCGGGAGCAGAACAAAGATCAATTAAAACCTTTGAACTTTGTAAGAATTCAAATTTTCTGTTCAATTGAATCAATTTAAATGCAGCTCTTGATCGGTAACCTGAAAAACAAAAACAAAAATTAGTTAATGTAAGTAAAATAAGAAATAAAATACAACTTACCGGTTTCCTTAGCTAACTGGTAAAACCTATCTTTACGCTGCTTTCCAACTTTAGCTTTACCCATTTTGACACAAGCTAATTAAGAAATTACGAGATAATCAACAATTAACAAAAAATAATATCTAAACAAATCTGTTTAAATGAAGACCACGTTTTAAAAAACAATGCTCTTTGTGACCATGTGATACTAAAATACATGTGTAAGCATTAGATGGCGCTGAGTTTGTGCTTTTGTTGGCTTCATTAAAGTGTAAGGGAGAATCAGCAGATGGCAGATAACCAACTGAAATTTCAAATTTCAGCAACAGTTGCAATGGAAAATATTTTTATAATAAACTTGGCTCAATTGTTTTTGTGTAAATAATTGATTTTAAATAAAAATATCAATTAATTTCTATTTTGTTAACTACTTATAATTGACCAACAGTATGAAAGCACTCACGGAAGATGAAAACGAGCAGACAAGGTAAGACAAATAAATATTTTCTTTCATCTTTCTATTCTTTACTTTTTTTCCCTTACTTTTCATTCTTTCCTCCTTTTTTTCTCATAGATGTGAAAAATGTGCAACAGAGGAAGTTGCAGCTACCTCATATACCCGTGAATTAGAGAAACTTTTAATTGAATCAGAGAATATAATTAAAAATTTAAAGCAAAATCTTTCTGGATTGAAATTGGAAAATCAATATTTATCTGCCCAGTTGACAGAATTAAGACAAAAGATTAGTCCTACTCCAGCATCTCCAATCAGACTCAATGAAGATAATCAATCAATTCTGATAAAATTAAATGACGGGCGTGGAAATTTAGGTGTGAGCATATTGCCATGTGAAGATTCCGCTGGTGGAATGGTTATTCAAAACATATTACCAGGAGGCCGAGTTGATAAGAATGGTGGTATTGCTGTTGGTGATAAAATAGTTGCAGTTAATGATTTAAGTTTACTCAACTTAACATTTGATCAAGCTCAAGAAATACTTAGAGAAGCCTCTCAACTTGATGAAATGACATTAAGAATTGTGAAATGTTCTGTTGACTCTGGATTAGAACAGTACACCAATACCATTAGTCGACTTGGATCCAGAAAACTGGGACGAAAATATCATGTTAGATTGATCAAAGGAGCTGACGGATTAGGCTTCAGCATTGCAACGAAAGATAATCCTGCTGGAGACTCATCTATTTATGTTAAATCAATTTTTCCTAGAGGTGCAGCTATAAAAGATGGAGCATTAAAGTCAGGAGATAGGATTCTCCAAGTCAATGGGATTGATATTTTAAGGAAAAAACTCCAAGATGTTGTTTCTATTTTAAAAAGTATTCAAGTCGGAAATAGTGTTGATTTAATTATTGCTCGCCAAGAGCAAGATATTTCACCAAATCCATCCTTACCCCGTCCATTACCTGGTGACAAAGCTGGGGAAATACCCAACGGTCATCAAAGTGAAGTTTTTACTTTTGATATACCTTCAAATGACACAAGTTCTGCTGGCCTTGGAATAAGTGTTAAGTGTCTCCAGTCCAAAGATGAATCAGGTATGACTTATGATTGTGGTTTGTTTGTAAATAAAATAATTCATGGTGGAGCTGCTTTTAAAGATGGTCGTCTCAAAGTTAATGATCAAATTATAAGTATTAATGGAATACCTCTTCTAGGTTTATCAAATGATGATGCATATGCATTGCTCCAGAAATCATTTTCAATTGGTGATGGTCTTAATTCAATAAGGGTCACAATAGCTCGAAAACTCCAATCTCCTGAAAATGAAAAATCTTCTGAGCCTACAGATGCAGATGTTGATGTTAGTGATAATGTTGGAACAAAACAGGATCTGTCTACCAGCAGCTACAACTCTTGCGATAATACTGTTATTCACTTTAATGATCATCAACCTGTTTCTAATCGTTTACATGGTCGTACACCATCAATCCATGAAAGATTAATTTCAAATAGTGGAGACATATCTATAAATGAAGATGCCAATGTTACTGTTGATCTGATATCAACAAGCAGCTACAAATCTTGTGATAACACTGTTATTCACAACCCAAAGCCAATGGTATCTCCAAATGATCAACTTGAAGTCCATTTTAATGATCACCACCCTGTTTCTAATCGTTTACATGGTCGTACACCTTCAGTTCGTGACAGAGTAATGCCAAATAGTGGAGACATGTCTCCAAACAGAAGTGACATATTTATTGAAAATGATACTGGAAATTTTGATTGTGACGAAACAAATCAAACAATACCCAAGTCAATAGAAGACATGGACGATACAGAGGCCAACGTTTTAAAGCATGTAGAAAGTGTAACTTCTATTAATAATGATTGCGAAATTGTTTTTGCACGAGATGGATTTGGTCGTCAAAGTGTTTCTGAAAAACGTTTCTGTGCAAAGGCTAAAGAAGAAAGAGAAAAGGAAAGACAAAAATTGAGAAAAGAGTATGGGTTAACATCTCCTAAAACACCATCTAAAGAACGAAATGCCAATACCCCTTCAAAACCAGCAAGAGGAGAGCGAAGTGCATCTAAAAATCTTCCTCTTTTTTCTCCCAAATGCTGCTGGAGCTGTCAATCTCCAGGCTCTTGTCCTTATCATGTTGCACCATCTACCAAACGTGTTGGTCCTAATTTGGGTCTCAAAAAGTCTTGCTCTTTAGAAAGCCTACAAACAATGATGCAAGAACTACAAAAAGATCAATTAGATGGTCAAGAGGGCAATCCATTTGCTGGACCTCGGCCTGCAACTCTCAAAGTTTCTCGAATTCGAACAACCAACGAAAGTTTTCGTGTTGCAGTGGACAAATCATATGATGATGGAGTTACAGAAACTCAAAAAGCTATGGAAACTTTAAATGAAGAAGAAAGTGAAAACAATTCTTATATAAATATTATTCATAAACAGCAACAACAACAACACCCACCACATCAACATCATCATCATCTTCAACAACCACAACAACCACAACTACAACAACTACAACAACAACATTCACATTATCAACAACCACAACCTCAATCACAACAACAACATCAACTTCATCAACAACATCAACTTCAAAAACAACATCAGCTACATCAACTGTATCAACAACAATCAACTAATAATATTCTTCATCACCATGACGTCCGACCTCCTCGCCATCATAATATGGATAAATTTAAACAATCTGAAGCAACAGTATCATCTACAGGCACCAGCTCACAATTCACAAGTACTGATGATGATAGCAATTTGATAAAAAATAAAAATTCAGACGCTAAAAAAGGACTATTCAGAACACTGCTTCGCCTGGGAAGTGGTAAAAAGAATAAATCTAAAAGCACTAGAACTGAGGATTATAATCAAGTGCGCGCTGCTCAAGAGGCCATGCTCGAAAGAGAAAAGGTTCAAGAAGCTTACAACAAACTAAAAGATCAATACCAGCATCAGCATCAACAGCAACATCAACAACAACATCAATATCAACATCAGCATGCACACCAACATGCGGTACAAACCCAAGTTAAATCTACAGTTGGTTTACCAAATTTACTACTTAATCATTTCTCGCCTCCTTCAAACGTACAATTTAGTCAACAACAGAACCAACTTGCACCACACCAGTCACAACAAGCTTACGGTACTCTTCCCTCTGCTTCTGATCAGCAAATGAAAAACGTTGCAAATCACATTAGAACGTCTTCGGGTCGCATGAATGCAGCTCCTTTAATAGGATCGACATCAGCAGGCCCAGGTTATGTTGAACGACAATACCAAACATTACAAAGATCCACTTATGGAGCTACTGTGCATCCAACTTATGATGCACCTTATGGTGTTGTTAAACGCAACGTTTACTCTGGAAGTTACAGATCAACCAACGTCAACAATCGCCAAACAGTCTATTGGGCAAACAGCGGAGCCACCACAACAGATGCGTCCTTCCGTAGACCTCACAAAGTTTACGTTGAAGAATATAGTCGACCTAATGGACCTTTAGATTCAATGTACACTCCACTATCCTCTTAAGGAATAATCAACCTCAAATAATTCCCAAGATGGCAGTAAAATCTAAAAGGTTCAACATTGAATCTGCCAAATGAAACATTTATATTTTGTCTTATGCGCATCAGTATCAACTTATAACAAACAAGCAAAAAAGAAACAAAACTGATCAGAAACTTTTCTATATTTTTTATTGGGGCGAAAGAAAAAATCACAAAGCGATTCCCTTAATTTAACATCTCAAGTCAACCAGTTAAGTTAAACATTGGACGTTATATAATTAACGTTTGCTTACAACTCGTCAAATTATCATCAAAACAAAATTATCAACAATCAATCAATCAAGATGAAGTTAAAGTATGTTAAACAATGAGATTTTAACGGAAAACCAAACCAAACAATTTACTTAATTCATCAGTTTAACCAAAATTGTTTCATAGTCTTTGTATATTGTAAAAACAAAAAAACAAATTTACAAACTTGTAAAAACTATAAATAAAAAAATATTTCAACTGTGTAAACATGAAAAGTTTGTCATCAATTTTAATCCAGTTACCATTAACTTTGTCCGGTTGGATTGTTTTAGTGAACCACATTTTATCACCATCAACCTACCTCGTATCATCATCATGGGAACAATGGTGGACCTATGAAGGCATTTCAGGTAAGCAGCTAAAAACCATTTTAAAGGCAACAATTTTTCAATCAAATGTAAACCTCGATTCCAACAAAATAACTGATCCCATGGGCGATTCCGTTCCCTCCAAGTAAATACATCTTTACACAATTAATAGACATCTTCCCTCTACATTGCCAATTATGTTAATCAAATGTTGACAAAAGACGATGAAAATTGTCAAACAAAATGCCATTAAACTTGGTTAAAGGCACAAAGCATTTGAATCATTAGAATCCAAATATAAATATTTCCCAACTTGAAACATTTGATGAAATTATAACGATTAGTTGCTTCATAAAATAGTTTTAAAAATGGCTTCAAGAAAGTTCAACACTTTTTGCTCCAAAACTTCAATCTAATGATTATGATTTTTGATTATTCAATCTTAAAAAACGGTTGAAAAATGTACTTAACTAAAGATTTCTTATTCAACATTTCCAAATATTAACTGATAGCATTTTTTGTAGCGAGAAAAAAAAGTTATTTTCAAAATGAAAACATCTTTTCTTGTTGAACTCTTCCCTGAACCAGTCAAACTGAATTATTTTCATTCCATATCAAGTAATCTATTATCTGGATGCAACAAAAAAAATATAGTAAACTATTATTATCAGTTTATCCTCAATTAACTTCAAGTTATCAGAAATGTTGGGTTAACAGGGAAAGAAGTATAAAAGGCAAGTTTAAATAAACAGATAAACACTCAACAAATGAAATTAAAATTCAACCAACCAAACATGAGAATCATCATGACATGTAATCATGTTAACTCTTTAAACATATTTAACACTATCTTTAACCTTATCCTTTCAAGCAACATCCAGATCAGTTGATTGCTGTTCATCAATAAAGGCCAAACATTTTAACACATTTGACTTTAAATGTAACTTAAATAATGAACGTTTGCTTATCAAAAACATTTGTGATTAACAATTAGTGTTAATAATGACTGGGTTAAACAAAGGAAAAGCGCATTTCAGTTCATTAGTGGAGCAACATTTGAATGAAGGAAATGCCTGAAATGATGAAGAATGATGAAAAAGGGAAAACTCTTCTCCTCCATCTTCCTTATTTCATCGTCTTATTCAATATTCAATCGATCAAATTGTGAGTTGACATTTATTATTATCATGAATAGGAAACAAAAGGAAATGATTAACAAACATTGAAAAAAAGCGAAAATCTTTTCTTCTTTTACTTCTTTTTCCAGTTATAATCATTATTGTCTTGATTGTCACTTGCAAATGATTAGCAACTCTGTACATGTTAATGACTGTAAACCTGTTCAACTGTTGAACAGTCAAATGGTTGGAACAATTAATTTGCAAATGAAAAGCAAAATGTTTCACATTGAAAATGCCTTTTCCTCTTGAAAACCAAATGATCAGAGAAAAGGGTTTTGTCAAAATAACTTGAATGTTTTGCTTCAATAGTTTCATTTTTACATGAAATGATTTAACCAAATCTTAAAGGTGATTGTTGAATACAGACAATTGAAGGATAACAACAACAACCAAAAAGAGGCAAAATTGTGAATAAATAATGTAAAGATGAAGATGAAAATAAAAGCCAAGAGTTTCTTTTCCCTTCCAATATTTACAAATGCATTTCCAAAGGAATAAGTGAACACAATTTGATTGGATTTGTCTTCCTTTTTCTGCTTCCCTTTCATCATTTTATTATCCTGAAATGATGAAAAAAAAACTCTGTTATTGAATACAAATTTACAATAATTGTTGAACTTCAAGACGACAAGCATTTTAAATGGTTAACATTGAAGAGCGTCTTTTCTGGATCCATTGAAAGATTTCAATTTTTTCGAGTTTTCAATGTTTAATTTTTTTTCTATTTTGCTAATCATTTCAAATTGTATTTCAACTGAACTTGAGAACATTTCGATTTCGAAGTTTCTGTTTTATTCATGATTATTGACATTGATTGGGAGATTGGTCTAACTGTGAAAGTGATAGTGATTTATTGATGGATAATGAAAGCAATTTTTTCCTCTCTTCTTCCTTTCATACTTGGTCACTGTTGAAGGATATTTGATGCCCACTTGAATGGCTATCTGTGGTTCAATAAACATGGAACTGCAGATTGGATAGAAATAGGATGAACAAGAAATGAAAGGCTGAGCAACTTGAGACTGTGATAAGTGTGGAAATGACCAAGTAAGATGTTAAGGTAAAATGATGATGAAAAAGGGATAAAAAATTGAAGAGCCGAAAATATGAAGATGATATGAAAAGGGAAGAAGATTTAGAAAGAAAAATGTTTCCCCAAAAAATAAGAAACATTGTCTCTACTGGATCCATTGATTGGACTGGCAGTCAACACAAATTATTATGTCATTTAGGTTGACCTTACGTTTGCTGTTCATCATGATAAATTGGTATCCATTAAATTGTTGGTCAAAGAGGGAAAAAGTGAAGCTCTTTATTGGTTGTTGCTGTTGTTTATGAAAAAAGGGTAAAAGTGAAAAGTAATAAGTTGAAGATGAGAAAAAAAATTTTCTGGTTCGTCTCATTATTTGCAGATTTGTCAGCCAATTTATCAGTTTGTTTAAATGTAAAGACGGTTGTTTAAGGTTCAGGTTGAGAAAAAGGTTCAATCATTTTTGTGAATGTTGCAAATGAAAGTGATTTAAAGGTTAATTTCAAGGTTTCATCCGGTATTCAGTTTTTGCATGATGAGCAAAAGAAGAGTTAATCAATTGAAATGAAGAAATGTTTAAGTTGAAGGTTCTTCAATGTAATTGTTCCATCAAATGGCTTCAATGGTTTGACACTATTGAAGAGCTCTTTGTCATCATTGAAACACCCAAAAGCAAAGTTAACCTTTTCTTCATTCCATTTACTCAACCTTTCATCATGTCCATGTTAATTTTTCTCATTGGAACTTGTCATTCGTTCTTGTCTATTATCAATTATGTATAACATCAAAATGATACTCTGGTTTACATGTTAACAGTAATAAGACTGGAAAGTGTCTTAAGTGTCTTGTCTTAAACTTGGTTCAATGTTGCTCAAAATGGCCAATAACAATTACTTCTTGGATTCAATTTTTAACTTCAAGACTTATTTGATTAACATAAAGCAGAATCTGACTCGAATCCAATCTTTATAATCTTAACATTTTTAAACTCATTTGGCTAAAATTGATGATTTTATTTCACTGTTTTAAGTCAATCATTCAAACGCTATTCCTTTCAACATTAAACTGCATTTTTTAGGATTAAGCTGGAGTTGCCTTGGGATGGCAAAGGAACTTGACTTGACTCTTCAAGTTTGAGTATGAAAGTCTGGTCAATATTGTTGATTGATAAATGATTGTTGATGAAGAAAGGTTGACCCGTAAAGGTAACTGTGATTGATTAAAAGAGTAAATACAAAGCTAGTAAAAAATGCGTCCAGAAAATAAAGTTCCATGTAATGAGGAAAAAAAGACTAATCATCACTTTCCTGATATCGATGAAAGTTGAAGTTATCCTGGAAAAAACAAAAAGGTAAACTCAAACAAGTTGAAAGTCAACAAGCTAAGACAGAAAAAAGACAGAAAAAAGAGGATAACAAGAATCAGTAAATCTGTACCAAACGAAGTACATTAAAGTATTAAGCTGTAAAGAAATGATTGCCTGTGAAAGAAATGGACGCTTCCCAGTGAAAGATTTGCCTTTTATCCACTTGACAATACATGATTTTTTTACATTTTTTATCGTCTCAATCTCTTCTCATCTTAATCATCACTATCATATTGAAGGGTCAAAAAGAGAGAAGGACTAAACAAAAAGAATTCCCAAAAAAAGTTGATTTTCTGTAAATTACCTTGACTTTTCTCATCTTTTCTCATCTTTTTCATCTTGACAATGTTGTCCTGCTTCAACAGTCCAACAACGATGAAAACATCAACATTGTGATCCATTGAATCCCCTGATAATTTTATCATTCAAAAAGGTTCCAATTCCATTTCTTTAATAACAACTTTACCATATAAATATATTTATCATCATCTTCATCGGAACACTTCTAAATCGCCTTATTTTCAGTGCAACTTCACAAACATTGAACCAACAATGTAATGATCATCTCCACTGATCTCCAAGACTAAATCAGTTATTAAGGTTTCAACTGTTAATGATTAAAGACTTGAAAGTTTGATCATCAATTTCATCTTTAAAACCATTTCATTTACTCTATTAATGACAATTAAGATGTTATTTGGGCGAGCGAAAAAAATGGAAAATCTTTTCTCATTTATAAGATTTCCACTTCAAGTGTACAGTTTAATTGAATTTCAAATCAATTGTGAATTTACTCATCAAAATGGATCAACTTGACTTAGGAAAGGCCAAGAGTTTCAAGTGCAGTCAATAGCAACTCTTGAATCAACAGTTATAACTGTAATTACAATCATCTTGTTTTTCCTTGACTCTAATCATTACAATTAAATGATGAACAAGGCTTTAATTAGACAATCATTTGAAAACGTTTCTTCAACAAACCTTTCAAACCTTAAAAGATGATTTGGGAAGCTCGAAAAATCATTAACCTTTTCCTTTAAAAACTCACTTAAATCATTAACTCAAAGTAAATCAAATTTAAACGTACACTAGAGTACCCGGTTAAAGCAATTTTTTTGTGTCCCATTTAAAGCAATTTTCACAGTCGCCATCTATGATTTTATGAAAATTTACATTGTTTTTATAATCCTTGCATTACATAAATCTTAAGCGCTGCCACTTTCTGAAACCCATTATCACTAGATGGAGACTTAGAAAAAAAAATTGCTTTAACCGGGTACTCTAGTGTATTGGGAAAATGTCCAAAATTATTTCGAATGTCACTTGTCCAGTTTCTGGGCGATAAATGCGGTTAACCATGTAATGGTTAATCATAAATGTTGCATTTTCTCCTTTTCTGTAATCCATTTACTCGTTTCTCAGTTTATTATTTCATTAATACCTTTTCATGAAATTGAATGTGAAA